CCCGCCATGAAATAAAGTCGCAGAAAGAGCCACCACTTGTATGTCTGACTCAACCGTTATGCATATTCTCAAAAACGGTGCTAATTGATCCGCTGATGCTGGGGTTGAAAGATATGTGCGCTGTCAGAGAAGAGCTTTTGACAAACACGCATTCTGCAGCATGTCAGAAGAATGCTGGAAGACGTAATCTGGAACACATGCTCAGAATGCAAACAGTTAATGCATAAATTTTCAGTTTGTACAACTGCAGCTCTAAAAGGGGGACTTGTTTATTCAGAGCTCTGCAGAAAGAATGGTACAGCACCCAGGGGACAGACAATGCCAGGCACAAAACCCCGGTGCCTCGACATGTAAAAGGATGTTTTTCTATGTGCTACAAATCCCACTTGAAAATATAATTAGAAGGAGAAAATGGCAAAGTATTGCATTAACTGTAATTGAACAAAAGACCGGCAAGGCATGTGGGAGGCTGCAGGAACCCGTGGGAGTTTCAGGATGCATGAGATCCTGCAAGTGGCATCTCCTGGGCTCTCTCATTTTATTTATGTTGTCCCTCACTACTATTGTTGACTGGTGATCTGACTCATAATTAATAGAAAAGCTACCGATAACAAGCTAAAATACAGAGCAACAGAATAACCTCATCAGAAGCATGTTTGTTAATCTGATTAAGACTAGGACTCCAGAAAGGTGACTTAGAACCCAAGAATTATTCCATGTTATACAGGAAACTGTCCTCCTTTATGCTACAACAGACCTGATATATTCACTATCTTTTAATGAGCTCCACTTGATTTATTCAGCTCTGCTCTGCTCCCTCCCCCACTTTTCTACTGTGCAGGATGTAGATTAATTCAATGCTTAATTGTTTAGTAAATTCAATTTTCCACATTCTATTCTGCATAGCTTTAGCTAAGGTTCTTAAATCTTCAGCAGTGAGCCCTGAGCCCAGTGTTTGTGATCTGTGCCTACCTTTTTTCATCACCATTTTTCTTCATCCACCACTTAATTCACCATGAAAAGATTTTCCTTGCTGGAAATTCTGATTCCGCTATGATCTGTGAGGCATTCCGATTCATTGCATTTTCATTGTGTTGGGTCTTAGATGCCGGGCTCCTCTTTTCTCACAGCTATCGCCACATTATACAGGCATTCATGCAAGAAATGTTGGATTCCACCTCAGTTTATCCAAATTTTGTGCAACCTATATGTTTAAATTTGTGTGTTCACCAAAGGAAGGAGCCAATATTTTCCACCTAATATCACTCTTCTCACAGCCTTGCTCTTCCAGAGAGGCCTGTGAATACTGAATGCCCTTCTCTGAAATGAAATCTAACTTTTGTGGTCCTCTCTTGAATTAGCATTTTGCGTATTAGCATTTCAAGAACGGTATAGTCATACAAAACTGAGCATTAGGAGAAATCCACAAGGTTACCAAAACAGAACAAGAATTATGTTTAGTTCAGTTCATTAAGCATGATTAAAGCCTAAGTATCAGAAATAGCTCATGAACTCTTCTGGCATAAATATGTAAGACAGCCCTAATCAGAAAGAACTCCCCCAAAATCCATCTACCCAAGAATCTCAGTTACAATAACATATCTCTGTGATTCTCTGTGGTTACGCCAAACAGCATCATTATTATTTTTAAAATAAAATATGTGCATACAATTATGTACATATATCTGTGAAGTTGTGAGTTGCTTAGGGCCACTTGTAAAGTAAAGCTGACAGAATAAAATCAATGATGCATTGCATTAGATGTATAGCAAACCATAGTCATGGTTCTAAATTAAGTCCCAAAGAGGCTTTTTTTCTTCAATGTATATAATTTCAGAGTAAGCGATGCCTATGTTCTCATCTATTGGAAATCCATTAAGACAACAGGTCCTAAGCTGAAGTCCAGAGACCTCCTAAAGACTTGGGGCGGTGGGGGGGGGGGGCTTGTTTTAGCAATAACTGTGTTTATGGACATACTTGCATTTTCCTCCCCTGGGGAGAGTGTCCATAACTTTTCATCAGATTGTCAAAGGGGCATGTGATTCTTTAAAAGTCTGAGAACCACTGCTCTAGGAGACACTCACAGGGCTAGATGGAAAAGCCAGGGCTGGAGAGACCTTCAAGATCATGGAGTCAACACTTTAACCTGATACTGAGAGCCCGATGGTCCTCCAGACATTATTTCTTTTGTCATAAATGCAGGCAGCCAGTGAGAGGCTTTGCTCCATCAGGAAGATCTTGGTCAATATACAAATATATAACATACAAATGGGTTTCATTTCCCTCTTTTTCACTCACATTTTGTCTAGTTGTGGAGCCCCAAAAGACAGCCATTTTAAATATGTGGAGCAAGCATATGATTCTCCCCATGTTTTCTCTCTTCAATGGCTTGAACACTCCCATGCCTTCTATCATTTCTCAAGAATGCTTGAAAATAAGGGTTTTGGGGGGGCGCCTGGGTGGCTCAGTCATTAAGCGTCTGCCTTCGGCTCAGGTCATGGTCCCAGGGTCCTGGGATCGAGTCCCACATCGGGCTCCCTGCTCTGCGGGGAGCCTGCTTCTCCCTCTCCCACTCCCCCTGCTTGTGTTCCCTCGTTCGCTGTATCTCTCTCTGTCAAATAAATAAAATCTTAAAAAAAAAAAAAGAAGAAGAAAATAAGGGTTTTTTTCAATGATGCTATGCTAAGATTCGTCGAATGGTATTTTTTACTTATAAGGCAATTATACTGGTATCTGGTAGTCAAATAGAGGCAATGACCTCCTTGACCACAGGCTCCTCCAGGGCAAGGATAATATCTGGATCTTCCCTGTCTTGTTCTTTCTTGGCTCAGCACAATGTATGGTGCATGCTCAGCACTCAGTCAAGGCTTAAGGAACTAACCTGAATCATTCATCATTTACTGTTCCACCAGTATTCCAACAGATGAACTGCAACTTCCCAAACTATCCTTCCTCCTGAATGAAGTTATCCATTGGTAACTTTTCCTCTCTCCATCTTTTGCGTCCTTTTTCCATCTATGCCTTAATTTGGGGCATAACTTCTGGTCCTCATATCACTTTCCATGTTTTCGTTAGAAGTTCCTTTCACTACCGTAATTTGAGTTCTCACCCATATGCCATGAAATTTGTGTCTCTGGATCTTTTGTCTTTAGACTTGTATGCCCAACTACCTGCTAAACCCTCTCCATGCAAAGATGTTCACCTCACTCAACAAGTCCAAAGCTAAACTCTTCGTCTTCTGACCAACGTCCTACTCATTCTTCCTTGTTATTGATCCCAATAGGTATAAGCCCATCTATCCATGGTATAAACCTGAGGACCATCCATGACACCTACCTCCCCCGTCCCCCAGACATCCAATCAGTCATCAAGTCTTGTTCACTTTTACCCCTAAATAGTTCACAAATAAATCTCTCATTTTTCACCTAGTGATTGCTGGTCTTGTTCAGGCCTTCCCAGCTTTAAAGAGTTGAGTCAAATCACTTCACAGTTCAATTCCACTAGAATTGAGGACAGGAATTGGTCAGTTTTGCTTGCCATTGCATCTGCCTATCAAGTTCAGTGCCTAGCACTTGGCTGGCGCTCAGGAAATGTTTGTGGAATGAATGAACGGCTGTACTGCCTATAGAATACTACAATCTGGGGTCCTTAGCC